ATGTAAATTTTTAATATTTAAATTTCATCAAGGCAAGTTAGTTGTCTACAATAAATCCAACATTCTACTCTTCTTGGTTTTCCCTTCCTTAGACTGATTTGTATTTTCAAGTGCTCACTAGGCTTCTCCACTGACAGCATCCGCCATTAGTCTGTCATAAAAATTCTCTTAGACTGAAGGCATTTTGCCCATGTCCACCCTATTCCAAAGGCATCTGGCACCTAATGACTAGAATATGTCTCCCTAAAACACTATGATACAACTTACAAATTACTGTTTTCCTCTCTCTCTCTCTCTCTCTTTCTCTCTCTCTCTCTCTCTCTCTCTCTCTCTCTCTCTCTCTCTCTCATGAGTTTTCTTTATTCCTCTCTCACTAGCACATACAATATTTGAGATTTTGGTAGATAGACTGGAACTGGCAACAATCTGTAAAAATTACTGGTCCAACAGTGATGCCTGATTTCGATTTCCCAGCCTCAACCAGCTGAAATGAGGAGTTTTGAGTTCAAACTTACCAGATAGAAATATTTTCTAAGGAATTACAAAACAGAATGTGTATGGGGCTACCAGGAGCTGTGCTATACTACAAAAGACAATCACAGTCGCATCAGAAAGCATCCCATGAGATTGTCTCTAAAAACCACCATTTTATTAGTTACCAGCGCATCTGAATTACTCAGGTTCTTTTCATTTAAGTAAATCCATGAAGGATTCAGTTATAAATATTTACTTTTATTCTTTTTGTCATTTTGAATACAGCCTCTGATTTTTTACTTTTTAATGAAAAATATGTGGTAATGTACTCTTATTTTCCTCTGTTGGGGCTGTTGCCAGTCAGCAGATGAAACTGCTAAAGGTAAAGTGTTTCACCACACATGCCTTCTATTGAACCCTTTTACTTGCAAGCCCCACTCTGCCCCACAAACCCACAGAACCTATTATGATCCCTCCTTCAAATGCCAAGCATTCCCCATGGCATCAGTGGTCCACAGAGGCATAGGCACAGGCACTAATTGTATCAGCTGGAGGAAAAATCAACACCTGTACCCATAATTACACAAAACCCAGATGGATAGATGACAGTGTAAGAATATATTCAACAACATGAGAGCAATATGGCACCAGCAGAACCAGTGGATCTACAACAGCAAGACCTGAATATCCCAACCCAGATGAAGCAGAAGAAAGTGACCTTAAAAATAACCTTACGAAGATAATAGAGGAACTTTAAAAAAGAAATGAAAAAGTCCCTTAAAGAAATTGAAAAATCTATAAGGAGTGGAAGATAAAAATGGATAGGTACCACATACCAAAGTTAAACCAATACCAAATAAACAATTTAAATAGACTTATAACCCCTATGGAAATAGAAGCACTTGTTAAAGTCTCCCAACCAAAACTGCCCAGAGCCAGATGGTTTCGGCATAAAATTCTACTAGAATTTCAAAGAAGTGTTAAATTCTCAAAATGTTCTACGTAATAGAAATGAGAAGAACGTTGTCAAACACTTTTTATGAGGCTACAGTTACCCTGATACCAGCACCACACAAAGATGCAACAACTACAGACCAATCTCCTTAATGAACATTGGTGCAAAAATACTCAATAAAATACTGGAAAACCAAATCCAAGAACATTATCATCATTCACCATGATCAAGTAGGCTTCAACCCAGAGGTGTAGGAAAGGTTCAACATATGAAAATCCTGTCAATGTAATTTACCATATTAACAAACTGAAAGAAAAAAACCCACATGATTCTCACTACTGATGCTGGAAAAGCCTTTGACAAAATCTAACACCCCTTCATGATAAAGGGCTTGAAGAGTTCAGAGATACAAGGAACATACATAAACATAGTAAAGGCAATACATAGCAAGCAAGATTGAAAACCTCTTCCCACTATAAACTCAGGCCATTATGTGGCATAAACAGCAACAGTATTAGATGAGCTGAAGTTACATCTCTGTCCTACATAGAGGCTTATACTGACTGGCAAAGAAAGATGTAGAAAGATGGTTAAAAAGTATTCTATAGAGGTATAACATATAAACACTGTATTATGCCAGAATTTGAAGAATAACTGCAGCAGCTTTGGCCTGAGGATATTTCTTGGGCACTCTGACCTTTAAGAGTTAATAACACACTGCTTGAGACATGGCACTATGCCTGGGATGGCTTGAAGCTTGTCTTAGTCTAATGTCCTTGTAACCTCAAAAGCAACTAGCCTGCGAACACCCTGTCATATGCCTCTAGATTCTTAAAAATTGGGTTATACGGTTAATGAGTAAGAATGATTAAAAATGAAAGCTCTTTATCAATGATATCAAAACTTAAGGAAAAATGATTGGAAATGATAATTCTGTTCTATCGCACCTTATCAGTGATTACTAAAAGATAAACAAGAGGAAGTGAAACACATTCTAATTCTAAAAAAAAAATGATATGGTCTATGTTTTGGAACAACATGAATGTATCCCTACTTACCAAATTCTGTATAAATAAAGAAACATTGTGGCTTCTAGGCAGTCAGCCTCTTCAGTAACATTCTCCCCACCACCCTGGCCTGGCTCACTCTCTTCCCTCACCAACCCCTTTTATCCTTTGCTGGCACATGACCAGAGCCAAGGGTGGCTCCCAGCAGATAATCTGTGTTTTGTCTACCAGGAGATACTGAGTGAAAGGCTTTTTTTTTCTTGTATTTGTTTTTCCCCAAGCACCTTTAGCTCAGAAGAAGAAGAAACCAAAGTAAAATAATGGACAGTTATTTTCTGAACTCCATCACTGTTTTTTATATCTATAACTATCTTAGTTAGGTTTTCTATTACAGTGAGTAAACACCATGATTACATCTACTCTTACAAAGGACAGACATTTAATTGGGCTGGCTTACATTTTTTAGATGTTTAGTCCATTATCATCATGGCACAACATGGCAGCATGCAGGCAGACATGATGCTGGCTACATCTTGATTTGACTGCAGCAACAGTGAACTGAGTGTCACACTGAGCAAAACTTGAACAAAAGAAATCTCAAAGTCTACCCCTACAGTGACACATAATTTCCACCAAGGCCGCACCCACTTCAGTAAAAGCCACCCCTCTTAATAGTGCTATTTCCTATTAGTCTAGGAGGGAGTAGTGATTATTCTTAAACTACCACAGTAACCCTCTGGTGTTGTATAAATATTCAGTGTATTGTAGAACCATCATCACTATGTATTTCCCAATTCTCTCTCCTCTATACACCATTGAAGCTCTATTTTCCTCTTAAACCAGGATTTTGCCTATTTTTGGAAGCCTAAATTTTGAATTATAATTTCTTTCCCTTTGTGTCTTATTTCTTTTTTCATATTCATACTTTTTAATTTAAATAAAAACTCAACTTATTTCAATAATTCATGGTATTGAAATTGTGCATTTTTATACCTACCCACAGCTTTATGGTTTTTCAGGTCGTGTCCATCTTTATGTTATATACCCATCTTTGCCAAGTCCACGAGGGGCAACGATCTCCTGGGAATTTCCCTGATGTTGTTTCTCAGTGACTTAAGCCCATTGCAGAATAAAGCTATGAATGTATTAATAAGAAAATCATGGTATTTAACATCACCAAACATAATATATACAATATGGCATCTAATAAAAGATTTTAGAGTCACAAATAAGGAAGAAAATAGAACTCACCACTAGGGAAAAAATTAACTACTGGAAACCAACTTATTTCTGACAAATTGGCTGACAGTGACATTAAACAGTAAAAATGCAGCTCATGCCTTGACAGGTTGGCCAAAAAGGAGGGAGACATTCAAGTTTTTAGGCAAAATTACAGAAGTAAAATTTGCAGTGTTTGTGACAAGAAATAGGTGACTGTAAGACCAGGAGACTGGATGCTCCATAAGGAAAGATTGGTGAATTTGAAGATGGTATTCATAAGGAAACACAGAGAAAATGAGAACAAGGTGTAAGTGAGCTGGATACAACCTCAAATGGTCAAATAGGCTCAGACGTAGAATTCCGATATTTAAATTTCTTCAAAGACAAGCAGGCTGTCTACAACAATAATTCCAACCTTCTACCCTCCTCAGTTTTGAATTCCTTAGGCAGGTTGATTTTCCAACTGCTTAGAGATTTCTTCACTAATGGCAGGTGCAATCAGGCCTTCTAGGTATTTTCTTTGATCAAAGACTGTTTTTTTTACCATGAACAGCCCTGTCCAAGAGAGCCAGACAACTAATGACTAGTATGGAATAACTTAGGTTTTATTCTCTTGTTTGGTTTGGTTTGGGGGGGGAGGGGGACTTGGTTTCTTTGTTTCATTTTGAAAAATGAAGTTTCCTTCATGCACCTGGCTACCACAGGGAATATTTAAGATTATAGTAGGTAAAGGGTACTGGTAACAATTCTGTGATGTTTTCTGTCCGACCTCTGATGCTTGATTTTGGGAGCTCTGAGCCTCTACCATAGCCAGTAGAGGTACAGTCCAACAACCGCATAGCTGGTCACTAGAGGGCACTGCAGATGCACCGACACAGCTGTGGGCAGTGCTTCAGAAGGTGGACTCAGAGTTGTAATATGAAGCCCGCAGTGGGGTAGCTGTGTAGCCAGAAACTGTTGGCTCAGGAGGTAGAAGGCAAGGGATAGCTAGTCAATCTTTGCACACTCATTGAGCATCACCACAGCAAGCCATGAGCTGTAACCTTTCCAGTCCAAAACACCCTGGATATAACAAAAGAGAAGGAAGCAACTGCCTCAGAGGAAAGAATGAGAAGAACTTCTCCACATTCAGCCATATTTATTCAGCACAGTTATCTCCCCTTCCACAAAGCAGGCTGAGTCTTAAGGGGGAAGGGTTGAGCCAGCAGAGTATGCTAAGGGCACAGAGAGCCTATGGGAGCCAACAAAATCACTGACCTCAGAACCTGACATCACAGGCAATGAGCTGAAAGGAGGAGCTGACTCCTACTCTCACCAGGGAGAGCAGCATGCTGAGGAGAAGGATGTGGGGCACTGCCCTCCCTGGCTCTGCCTGGGGCCCCAGCCTGCTCTGCTGTGTCACTGTCTTTCTCCTGGGAACAAGTGAGTCCTGAGCTCTGGGGGGACTGCTCCTGAGCTCCTCTACTGCTGCACCCATGCACTCTTTCTCTAGATGCTCACTCCTGTCTCCTGCCTCCCCAGGTTCAGCAAGTCCCGGGGTCATCCAGTCTCCAAGACGCATAATCAAAACAAAGGGAGGAAGGTCCAATCTCAAATGTATGCCCATCTCTGGACAAGACAATGTGTTCTGGTACCAGCAGACTCTAAGGAAGGAATTAAAGTTCCTCATTCAACACTATAAAAGCATGGAGAGAGCAAAAGGAAACATACCCAAACGATTCTCAGTCCAGCAGTTCAGTGACTCCCACTCTGAGATGAACATGAGTGCCTTGCAGCTGGAGGACTCTGGGGTGTACTTCTGTGCCAGCTCAACACAGCCTTACAGAGTGACTGGGTTTCTGTTCTTTAATCTTTCTGCTCCCACTGGTGATATACTAGAGAGGGCTGTGGAGGGCATACTGCACACTGTTCCTTGCTAAGACACAAGAATGCATTAATTCTGCACTAACCCCCCCCCCGTGCCACCTAGCTGAACTCATATAGAGTTCTAAACCTTGCTTTGGTCTCCAAGACTCCAGATGTTCTCTAGTTCTTCTAGTATTTTCCAGCTCCAGGCCAGTAGTAGAACACTAACTCTATGTTTGGTGCTTGCTTGTTGGCATCATCTAGATCTTTCATTACAAGGGGATACATTAGCGATCCATTTGTCAGTGAAGATTTCTGCAAGCCACTTTACAGATAAAAATGGCAGCTTATGAAATTACCCAACTTTTTATGTACGAGATTATCAATACTAGGTTTGAATCCTACAACTCTTCATTTTCAAAATCAAAGTATGACTTTCCATGATATTCTCTGCTTTGGTGAAAAACGTAGCAGCTCGGTGTCCCTTGTGTTATAAGAGCTTAGTCAGTGTACATTGAAGAGTCGACAGGTTATAGGCATATATTAAACCATGTAATGTTTTCTTTTTTATAATTTCATTATGAAACTTTCATTTTCAATAAAAGAAAATTTGTTGCTCAATAATCAAGCAACTAAGTTGAAAGGAATATAAAGTGATATTTATGGCAGAGGCTTCTTTCTCTAATGAAATGAGAGTATTGTATAGAAGACTAACATTACAGGTAGATTAGACCTTATTCCTGAAATGAGCCTAAGATCTATGAAATTTCATGCTCCCCTTTTCAAACATCTAAGTCTTAAATAGCAAGTGAATCCTTTTTAGATAGAATCCTCCACGAGCAGTTGCCTATTTTTCTTGGTGACTTCTGGTCTCTGGGGACCAACCAATCTTAGGCCATAAATGAGAATGTAGTTTTTAGATTCTAGAATCTGTTCTCAGATTCTTCTTATGGATGCTCTGCTGATCCTCTTTGTCTCTGCTTCTGCTTTTGAGTCCTTCCTCACCAGGGTAGCATAGTAGAAAGTATCCGTGGCAATTACACCAGGATATGTGGTCACAGAATGGAGGTTTAAGAATTTGCCATTGTCTGTGTAAGCAGTAGCTGAGATACCCTTTACTTTGGAAGGATCCTATATTGCCTTTGAGTAGAGGTGATGGAGGAAGGTCATTGGTTAAGTAATAAAGAAACTGCTTGGGAACCGATGCACGTTGGGCGACGCAGCTGGCGCAGGCCTGGACCAGCGGGTACTGACACAGTGGCAGGCAACACAGGCAGCAGGGACCAGCGCAACACCAAGAGCAGATCGCCCCAGGACAATTAAATCAAAGAGGTAGGCCTTTGGTTGTTGAGGTCCCTGGCAAACAGGGAACCTGGTTCTTTTCCTGAAGACCCGTCTGAGGGGTGAGAGGGATCTTGGCCCCTGGCAGGAGCCAGGAAACAGAACGAGGGCATTTTGCAAGAGGAGCCTCTGGCCAGCAGGGAAACCTGATCTGGTTTTAAAAGACCAATTAGAGAGCATCAATAGGAGGAGATGGGCAGGCGCCAAGGCAAAAA